CTGCTGAAGATTGGCAGCGTGACTATGACCTTCACGGCCTCTGTAGGCAGCCTGCTGCTGACTGCCATTGACCGCTACCTCTGTCTGCGCTACCCACCTACATACAAAGCCCTACTCACCCGTGGGAGGGCACTGGTAACCCTGGGCATCATGTGGGTCCTCTCAGCATTGGTTTCCTCTCTGCCTCTCATGGGATGGACTTGCTGTCCCAGGCCCTGCTCTGAGCTTTTCCCCCTGATCCCCAATGACTATCTGCTGGGCTGGCTCCTGTTCATTGCTGTCCTCTTCTCTGGCATCATCTATACCTACGCGCATGTCCTCTGGAAGGCCCGTCAGCATGTAGCCAGCTTGGCTGAGCACCGGAACAGGCACGTGCTCAGAATGGCCCGGATGAGGCTGGATGTGTGGTTGGCCAAGACCTTGGGGATGCTGCTGGCTGTGCTCTTCATATGCTGGTTCCCGGTACTGACCCTCATGGTCTACAGCCTGGCCAGCACTCTAAGCAAACAGGTCAAGAAGGTCTTTGCCTTCTGCTCCTTGCTCTGCCTTGTCAACTCCATGGTCAACCCCATCATCTACGCCCTGCGCAGTGGGGAGATCCGCTCCTCTGCCCACCACCACTTGGCCCACTGGAGGAAGTGCCTGAGGGGCCTCGGGCCTGAAGGAAAAGAAGAGTTCCCGAGGTCCTCAGTCACTGAGACAGAGGCTGATGTGAAAATCACCCCGGCGCCAGGTTCCAGAGAGCTGTACTGCTCTAATCACTAATGAGGTCACTTTCACGATTTTAAATGAGCCAAGTCAGAAATCATTTCAGTCCCTAGAGGAGAGCGTCGGATCCTCTCATCTTACTTGAACCAGCCCGAAAGGCCTGGACACTTACCCCTTTTCACTGAGTGTTGGCACTGGCCCCTGGAGGGTAACCTGGCCACGCCTGTCTGCACACAGTCTGTTGGGTAGCCAGGCCCTGTGAGGGGCGGCAAGGTGGGCAGGAGGCAGGAGGCCTGGGACAGGCTCATTGCAGGTCAGGACAACCTTCCCAACAAGACGGCTTAGTGCCTGCATTCTCTAGAGACCACGGGAGCCAAGCGGAGCCTTCAGGCTCAGCAGTAAAGGGCCTGGAGGAAATCTGGGAAGAATGGATCACTCTCCTGGGGTCTCAGGATGGCTGGCTAGCCCTTCTTCCTGTTTAACTGTTGGGTCCACCTTGGTTCTAGAGCTATGAAAGGCCCTACCTGCAGGTCACCCTTTCCCACAGAGGACCAAGAACTGCAATGCAATGAGGACCTAGGACGTTGATCCACCTCTTGCACAGATAACTGACAAGCCTCCAGTTCAGGGCATCTTATTATTATGGCACCGGCCCTCTCTGACACCCTGATAATCCCCACTCACAACCATTGTGTCCTCCTAGGTATGTGGGGAATACAGATGAGACTGGGATCGCTTGAGATGCAAATTGGTTTTGTGAAGACCTATTTGATGGTACCACTGGAAGCAGGCAGTGTCCCAGTCTAACCCAACTCCAAAAAAAAGGAAGATATTCACAGGGATTTTATAAATCCCGGAATTGTTCCCGGTCGTCCCTCAATTCAGCCCCTTTGTCTCCTCCACCCCCATGCCTTATAATGAATAATAAACAGAGCAAGTGGGAGGAGGGGGAAATTCCCTTACTATGTGCCAGGTGTGGTGCTGACATCCCACAGTCCATCATCTCCAGCAAGGATTCAGCCCCATACTTTTGGAGATCCCAGGACACCCAGATCTTACATATCAGGGAGGCTAGGTTCCTACCAAAGGGGCTTAAAGCAGTAGGCAAGAGAAAGTGTTGATGGTGCAGAGGACTGCAGAGGAATCCTAATGCAATTATTTGGAGCTACAGATGGAATAAAAAGAAAGATATTGATTAAACGTGTCTTCATTTAATACTTAGAAGACAAGGTGTTCACTATTCATTCATTCATCCACCCATCTCACAAATATGTGCCAGGCTCTGTGCTAGGTCCTGGGTGTCCAGCCATAAATGAGACTCTGCCCCTGTCTGATGGGGCTCACATTCTACATTCTGGTGGGAAGAGAGCCAATAAAAAAAGAAAGAAGATGATTACTGGTGGTACAATGAAGGAAATCGTCAGAGTAGTGGGATAGAGATGAACTGAGGTAACATTAGGTAAGGTATAACTACTGTGTGCTCTGGTCATAAGAGTCAACTGGCTTTTACTGAGGTTTTACTATGTGCCAGGCTCTGGGCTATGTGGTTTTAAATGAGGGATCTCACTTAGTCTTCACAGTAACCTGATGAAGAGGGTTTGGTATCCTCATTTTACAGATGAGGAAAGCTCTGAGAGGCAAAATCACTTGCCTGAGGTCATACTGCTAACATGTACCCAAAGCTGGTTTTCAACCCAGTTCTGTTTGACTCCTAAGCCTCTTTACCACTAAGCTCTTGGCCTAGTTCAGTCAAATTCTGTTCGATTAGGATAGTAATAATAAATAAGTCTATAAATAATAATGACTTCAATAATAATAAGTCTAAGTGATAAATATGTATAAAGTATAAGTGATAATATGACTTAATAGGTCCAATAATAATATTAGACTTTTGTAACATCAGATTGCTGCAAACTTATGATAATAACTCATCATTATTTCTCAACATATTTCTCAACAACTTCATTTTATGCCCTGTATTAAACTCCCTGCAACAATTTTCCACAAACTGAGTGGCTTATAAAAACAGAAATTTATTCTTTCACAGGTCTGGACTCTAGAAAATCAAGGTGTCAGCAAGGCCATGCTCTCTCCAAAGTTGCACGGGGAGGATCCTTCCTTGCTTTTTCCAACTTCTGGCAGGTCCTGATGTTCCTTGGCTTGTGGCAACATAACTCCTACCTCTGCCTCCGTCTTCACATGGCCTTTCCCCACCCTTTATCTCCAGGTGTCTTTCTTTTTTTTTTAATTGAGGTATAGCTGATTTACAATGTTATATTAGTTTCAGGTATAAAACATAGTGATTCAACATTTTTATAGATTATACTCCATTTACTTATTATAAATATTGGCTATATTCCCTGTGCTGTACAATATATCCTTGTAGCTTATTTATTTTATGCATAGTAGTTTGTACCTCTTAACACCCACCCCTATCTTGCCCCTCCCCTTTCTCTCTCTCCACCGGTAACCACTAGTTTGTTCTGTATATCTGTGAGTCTGTTTTTGTTTTGTTATGTTCATTCATTTGTTTTATTTTTTTAGAGTCCACATATAAATAACAACATACACTACTTGTGTTTCTCTGTCTGACTTATTTCACTTAGCATAATACCCTCCAGGTCCATCCATATTGTTGTACATGGCAGGAATTTATTCTTTTTTAATGACTGAGTAGTCTATGTGTATATATATGTATATATGTATATATATATATATATGTATGTATATCACATCCTCTTTATCCATTCATGCCTTGATGGGCACTTACATTGCTTCCATATCTTGGCTGTTATAAGTAATGCTGCTATGAACATTGGGATTCATGTAACTTTTCGAATTAGTGTTTTCATTTTCTTTGGATATATGCCCAGGAGTGGAATTGCTGTATCATATGGTAATTCTACTTTCAGTTTTCTGAGGAACCTCCATACTGTTTTCCATAGTGGCTGCACCAATTTACATTCCCACCATCAGCGTACAAGGGTTCCTTTCTCTCCGCATCCTTTGCCAGCATTTGTTGTTTGTGTTCTTTTTGATGATGGTCATCCTGACTGGTGTGAGGCGATATCTCATTGTGGTTTTGATTTGCATTTCTCTAATAATTAGCAATGTTGAGCATCATTTCATGTGCCTGATGGCCATGTGTATGTGTTCTCTGGAAAAATGTCTATTCAGGTCTTCTGACCATTTTTAATCAGGTTGTTTTCCTTTTTTTATATTGAGTTGTATGAGCTGTTTATATATTTTGGATATTAACCCCTTATCAGTCATATCATTTGAAAATATCTTCTCCCATTCAGTAGGTTTTCTTTTCATTTTGTTGATGGTTTCCTTTGCTGTGCAAAAGCTTTTAAGTTTAATTAGATCCCATTTATTTTTGCTTTTATTTCCTTTGCCTTAGGAGACAAATTCCAAAAAATATTGCTACGACTTATGTCAGAGAGTGTTCTGCCTATGTTTTCTTCTAGGAGCTTTATGGTTTCCCATCTTACATTTAGGTCTTTTCTCTTGGTGTCTTCTTTTAAGGACACCAATCATTGGATTAAGGCACACTGTAATCCAGTGTGACCTCATCTTAATTTAACAAATTACATCTCCAAAGACTCTATTTCCAAAGAAGGTAACATTCACAGGATTCAAGCAGACATGAAGTTTTGGGGGACATGCTTCAACCCAGTACAGCCCCCAAGGACAAATTTCAACCCTCTCTTACAGAACATATCATGGACTGTGTTAAGTGGGAGTCACTGGCTTGTCTTCCCCCACAAGATGAGCTCCATGTTTATCTCTCAGTTCCCAGTGTTAAGTGAAGACCCAGCATAGAGTCTTAAAGGGGCTGATCAATATCTGTGGCACTGAGCTGCTTCTGAAGAGCTTTAGATTACATTTTGGAAAATCGAATTTTATTTTAACCCAAATTTTTGTAAGGCAAAGAAATTGGATGATTTTTTAAAGGTGGATATGTGGCTCCTTAACTTTGGAGCATGCCTTTCTTTATTCATTGGTGGGGTCCTATCTCATTTCAGCAAAGAAAATGCCCAGGTGCCTGGCATAAATTGATACTCAGTAAACATCTGTTTAATGAATAAAACTAGAGTTTTAAACTAGAGTTTAAAAATCATTGAATTAGGGGCTTCCCTGGTGGCGCAGTGGTTGAGAGTCCGCCTGCCGATGCAGGGGACGCGGGTTCGTGCCCTGGTCCGGGAGGACACCACATGCCGCGGAGTGGCTGGGCCCGTGAGCCATGGCCGCGGGGCCTGCTTGTCCGGGGCCTGTGCTCCGCAACGGGAGAGGTCACAACAGTGAGAGGGCGTACGGCAAAAAAAAAAAAAAAAAAAAAAAAAAAAATCATTGAATTAAATGCACTTCCACACTTTCTTCCTCTCTCCTTTCACAATCACACTCTATTTCTGCTTAGAGTTTATGGAGGGGAGAGCAAGGGAGAAAGGGGACCTCAGGTATCACAGAGAACTGCTCTCATTGTTTAGATGAGGAAATGGGACCAGAGAGTGGACAAGACTTGCCCAAGGAGACCCAACAAGGTGGTGTCCAATGCAAGAAACGTAGGTTTCCCAACTTCCAGTTTTTCTACCCTATTGCAATGCCTCTCACCTGCCCCTACAGATTTACATTTTGGTTATGAGGTTAAGGAGAAATGAAGGTCATGGTGTCCTATTTTATCTCCCCCAAGATGAGTTCTGTAACATCAAAGACCGTTACCCTGATCACTACAAGATGTGTACGAATGCTTTTTGTTGTTGCTGTTGTTTTGTTTGTTTGCTTGTGTTAGGTGTCTGGGCTTGCTGTTGTGGACAATATTACAACAAAATCTTGCAGAGGAAGTAACAGAAAATAAAGAAAATGACTGTCATTCAGCAACAGCCACTGTGTTTCTTTATCACTCCTAGAATGAGGAAGTGCTTGCTTCTGTCGACACAGCTTTTGTCAGGTTCTCTTGCACCTCCTGGGGTGCAAGAGAGAAGCAGCGTTTGAGAGACATAGATTCTGCATCTGGAGACCTGGGTTCTGGTCCCACCTCTGATCCAAACTAGTTG